CCTCATAGATGTATTCTTTTGTAAAGTGTCTGTTCATATCCTTCACCCACTTTTGAATGAATTTTTTTTTTTCTTGTAAATCTGTTTTAGTTTATTGTACATTCTGGATATTAGCCCTTTGTCAGATGGGTGGAGTGCAAAAATTTTTTCCCATTCTGTTGGCTGCCAGTTCACTCTAATGATTGTTTCCTTTGCTGTACAGAAGCTCTGGAGTTTAATTAGATCCCATTTGTCTATTTTGGCTTTTGTTGCCATTGCTTTTGGTGTTTTAGCCATGAAGTCTTTGTCTATGCCTATGTCCTGAATGGTTTTGCCTAGGTTTTCTTCTAGGGTTTTTATGGTGTTAGGTCTTATGTTTAGATCTTTAATCGATCTGGAGTTAATTTTAGTGTAAGGTGACAGGAAGGGGTCCAGTTTCTGCTTGCTGCACATGGCTAGCCAGTTTTCCCAACACCATTTATTAAACAGGGAATCCTTTCCCCACTGTTTTTTTCTCATGTTTGTCAAAGATCAGATGACTGTAGATGTGTGGTGTTGCTTCTGAGGCCTCTGTTCTGTTCCATTGGTCTATGTCTCTGTTTTGGCACCGGTACAATTCTGTTTTGATTCCTGTGGCCTTGTAGTTTAGTTTGAAGTCAGGCAGCGTGATGCCTCCAGTTTTGTTCTTTTTGCTTAGGACTGTTTTGGCTATGCAGACTCTCTTTGGTTCCATATGAAGTTTGAAGCGGTTTTTTCCAGTTCTGTGCAGAAGGTCATTGGTAGCTCATTGGGATAGCACTGAATCTATAAATTACTTATAAATATGTTAGATGGTGTTAGTGTTGCAACAAAAAGAAATCATTATTATAAAGGATAAAAAAGAAAATATGTAGTCAACATTTAAAGAGAGTAAACACCAACTGGAGAAGTAATTAAGCTTCCATAGACAGATGTTAGCTTGGACTCTTGCTTCTGTTTTGATTGTGGGCATTATCTACATTTTTACCTATTTGGTTTTATGTTCCCCTCTTTGAGCTATTTCCTGTAAGCACCATTACTCTTTTTACTCATTAAACTTCATGGCATCTAGGTTTGACATTCACCTGCAGATCTTATTAGTAGATTTTAGCTGTTTCAAAATCCATTCCACTAATCAATTCCAACACATGGAACCTACTAATGTGTGCAAACATATGTGTATTAACAGGGATAGTTGCTAGATTTATGCCACTTTTTAACATAACTTTCCATATCTATCTATTAGCATAATTTATTATAAGATGTCCCCATAGTTGGATCGTTTATGTATATCATGGTTTCCAAGTACAAATCTTACTTGGTCATGGTATATTGCTCTTTTTAAACATACAACTGAATTTCATTGTCAACATCAACTTTAAAATTTTTGCATTCATAATTGTGAAATGGGTCTCTGGTTACCATGTGAATACTATATCTGTAAGGTTAAAAATTACGTTTTTGCTTTATTTTTAAAACCAGTAATGAATTTCCCTTTTATTTTTCCTGTCCTTGTGATAGATAATGAACCTAAAAATGACCTGTTTTATTCTAACTCTTTTTACTTTCTTTTTTTGGTAAGTTTCTAAAAACTCATTCATAAAACTGCTAAAGATGGGCATGCAAGGTAAAACTTAAAAACTCAGTTTCTTCACTGTTTTCAATCTAGTCCAGATTTTTCTTCCATCTTAACTTAGTATTGATAATGTTTGCTTTCACAGAAATTATTTCATAAAAAATTTAAGTGCATATATGTTCTAGTTCTGTATGTATGTCACTAACTCCTTCTATTGCTAAGGTTTATTACTGTTTCCTCACTTAATATATTTTCAGTAGTCTTCCAGGACATCCAATGTACTGCAGCTCCTTCATTACTTTTACTCTTGAGGACAGAAAACTTCTGAATTTACATATATATGTGCATGTACGGATGTATATTATTTATATGTATATACATATATAATTTATATATACATATTTATATATTATATAAGTTCAGAAGTTTTCATAGATATATAACATAAATATATAAATATGCCTCCTCTTTCTAATTTATTTCTAATTTTCTTTGATTTATTCTTTTGTTTTTTTTTGTATTTTTTTTAATTTGAATTCATACTTCATGTATTTTTTTCTTATTTAATGATAAAAAATTTAAAGCTATGAATTTTACTCTGAATACAGTTTTGGATACATCTCATAAATTTGATAAGTGTGGTTGTAACTGTTTACCACCTATATGATAAAAGTTTATAGTTACTCTTTGACTCAACATTCATTTATATGTGTCTTAATAATTTGTGATTCATCTCCTTATTGGTTATTAATTTCATATCACTTCCTTTTATCACTGAATCTTGGTCATAAATTATGGTTCATATAACTTATACTATAAGGAATTTATGATAGATTTTGGGTAAAGAATTTATGCCTTTTTGAAAATTAAACCATAAATGATATCAAAAAATGTATATTGTCTTCTTGTACAGAGTTAAATATATACTGTTAATTATACTTACTATCATATTAATTCTTCTAATTCCACTATTATTTTGTTTACTTGACAGAGTAAAAGTTGAGAGAGATACCTTGAAGTCTTTGATTCTGATGATTATATTTTTTTTACTATCATCTTGTTTTATGAGATTTTTTGTTTTATATATTTTGACATCATATTAGCTGGACTCTCAAGTGTTAGTTATTCCCTCAGTTTATTTTTTTAACCTGTCAATCTTCTTTTGCCTGATGTGAGTATTCTATGCCTGTTGTACTTATTATTTAGGCACTTCAGATGTCTGCTCTGACAAGAGAAATAGGACAAAGAAGATTGATTTGGGTCAGTAAAGGTGAACCACAATCATGTCAAGAATAATTGACTGCCCCCCCGAAACAAAATCTGGATATGTCATCACTGCAGAAGAGACAGTGTCTGACAGCATCAGCTAGCATTGTAGTCAGGAATTCATCCAGCTGGAAGTTAGAGAAAACATTCAAGTAAAAGCAGATAAAATAAAAAATAAAGGAAATGTTAAAAGCAAAAAAAAAGAAAAAAGTAAGAAAAAGTTTATGTTCCTTGTATGAAGAGCACAGGAGGAAAGTAAATGTTAGTATATACTGTGTCCATCTTAGGCCTCTTTCAAGAAAGCAAGACCAACCAGAGCCCAGAGCTGGACAACTACTGATCAAAGTATCATATTTAAATCAAACTTATTTTAGGTTTGATTTTAAATTATAGATGAAGTATATCATGAGAGAGGAAATATATTATTTTCAACAATGAACTATTTTTTCTTACTGACCAAATTACATAAACCAAGGCAAAAATCAAATATTACAAATTTAAATTCCAGGAAACACAAATTTCAACAACTTTTAATACATCAACACTATCTATATGTACAGATATATTTTTCATATTTATATATTAATCAGTATTGATTTGCATACATTAAGGATTATAAAATATTTGTGGTCTGAGATATAAACTCTTTCAGAATGCATGAATCTCACCCAAAATAAACTAAAATACAGCCTTTTTTTGTTTCTAATTATCATTTTTCTTTTTTATTAATTCTACAAAAAGAACACTTGCTATTAAATATCTCTCATTTAAAAACACTTATGGTTATATTTATTTTCTCTTCTTATATTTGTCTCATGCACTGGAAAAAAGCAAACAGTATAGCAGCATTTTACTATAATTCTGCCATAAGAAAGTGCTAAATGTAAATTCATCTTATGAGTTAATAATGATATATCTCATTTCATATTAATTTTGGTAATTGAATGAGAAAACAGCAAGATCTATTAAAAGGAACATTGCTGGTCAAATACTAATGAGAAAATCTCTGAGTCACTGGCTGTCATGGTAACAGGGCATTATCAAAATCTGATTACTATGCCCAGTAGCTACACAAGCGATAGGCTATACTTCTAATTGTGTTGTCTCTACTTGCAAGATAGGTTTTATGTTCCTAAGAGGTGAGAAGGTGGCAAGGCTCTGTTTAATTTATATACTGGATATGGAATACACTGCATGTTCACAAATTAGGGTCAGATATCTAGTACTAAAGATAAATTATACTTTGGAAAGATTTTGAAAAGTTAAAATTTAAAACAAACTTAGTTTACTCATCATTAACTCACAAATTTCTACATTTAAACAAAAATTTTCTAATTTTATAGACATTCATAGCAAACATAAAAGAAAAATGGTTTTAAAAAGGAGTTTAGTGAAAATATGAAAACAAATCAATAAGAAATCTTCCCAAGAACAAAATTTCCAAGTAGAATGGTTTAGAAAAGCACCAAGAACTATGGAGTATCAAAAGTAATGAGACCAGAGAGTTTTAGAAAGAGGCAGATCCAAGAAGAATGATGTGCAAAAAACAGGATTTGTGGCAGGAATGGGCCACAAGGAAATGTGGACAGAGCTTTCCATCTGCCATGGCAATGTATCTGTGTATGTCTTTCAGAATGTCCTCTCTTCCATGCCTTTGATCTTTTAGGTACAAAAATTCAGTGAATTTCAAAAATTACAGGCTCCAGTGCTTTTAGAATTGCTTTGTTCTTGAATGTCACTGAATTTTTTAAAAAAATTGATCACTGCTCTCTGATCCTTCTTGGTACATAACTTAGTTCTAAAAGGAAAACTTCAAATATTAACTAAGGTAAATTCTGACATACATTATTGACTAGAAATTTCTGTGCCTTGTCAGGGTTTGTAAGCACAGGGAATGTTAATACTGCTTGTACTGAGAAGTTTATTACTCTAGTTAAAAGCATAAGCATGTGGATTAAGTTTTACATGTACCAAATATCAAAAACAATCAAGTCAATCTAACAAAAACCCAAGGGGCATTTATCTATACACTTCAAAATTCAGTGGAGGGTGTGTTGCTGCAGAAAGAAAAACATCATCAAAGATGGCAGAGTGAGGAGAGAGAGAAAACAAGCACATTCCTAGAGAGATTAGGCTATTTCTAGGGCTCCTGTGCACTGACCTGGGATGGAAGCAGCAGTCTGAAAGCCAGTCAGTGTGGCCAACTCCTGTGAGAAGCACGTTGCCTTTTGGAATGCCCAACACCTTCCAGAGTCTGTCTTCACCACAGGAGACTAGGATGTCTTTGTGGGGGTGCACAGAGACACTGCACAAGAAAAAGAGGAAGAGTTATGGTGAGATAATAACAAATGTTTTCAGAATGTGAATGAATGAAATGGCAGTGATTATCCAATTTTAGCAAGGCAGGATAGTTCTGATTACTGGCCCAAAAATAAGAGGAAGCAGGTTCTACATCTTGGCTAAAGCTCTAACACTAACAGCTTTCTGATCTCCATCAATCTAATCAGCTTCACTGGATCTCGGATTCCTCCTTTGCAAGATAAAGTGGTTGGTTTAGGTGATTGTGCATGTCTAATTCTGGTTTGAAAAGAGTAATTCTGGTTTTTCTTTCAGGGAAGAAAAATTATGCCTATAGTATTTTTGTGTTGGGATATTTGGACCAGTGGTCATGGTTGTTATAGAACCTCAACATTTTTTTCAAACTACATTATGTCTTAAATCAGCCATTATGCAGAAAAAGGTCATGAAGCATAACCACATATCATAGTTCTGTAATAAATACTATAAGTGAAACATTAACTTCATGGCCCACTATCTACACAAAGTGAAGGAACTAAAATTCTATCCTAATATACCACTTCAATTGGCTTCAGTCAACTCACAGTACACAAATTACAGTAATGAATTCAAGATGCATAAGGCAGTTCCCATTCTATAAAGGAATAGAGGTGAAATGAGAAAGAAGTATGTAAGATTAATGATTAACACATTAAGCACTATTATTTGAACCAGACTCTGATCACTGTGGCTATTTCAATACTGGAGCTAAACTATTTTAAAATCAAAAGTGTACAAGGTTAATGCCTGATATTTTAACTATGGTAATGCTTTAATCTTATTTATATAAAGTTTCATCTATGCCTTACAATGTAATAGGAACAGATGTGTCCAATGTTAAGCACCTATTAAAATTCAAACCTAAATATTAGTAACAAATTGTTCAGTTTCTCAATCTGGCCATCTAAACTCAAAGACATAATACACTTACTTGCCTATGTGGAGCGGTAAGACATATGATGATTTAAAAAATAGTAATCACATGTTCATTTTTTCCTTAGTCTATTCTATAAATGGCCTTGTTCTTTTCTTCTGCAATATGAATTTTAAGAAATACATTTCCCAAAGAAATCATGGCTCTAGTCCATACCAGCATGGCTAACTCCAGGCTTATAGGAGAGCAAAACATTTCTCATTATTTATACCTTACATTAATGCCATTAAATGCAAAAATTATAACTGAAAAATAATTTTCAAATTAGACCTACATGGTCTTGGGAAACTACTGGCTTTAGCATTAGCAGCATTCAGGTCAAAGCCATGTAGCCACTACAGGCATGGCCTTCTTTCTAGTGAAACATTGTTTCATTTTTCTCCAGCATTTTGCTACTCAAAATAAACACAGTGTAAAGGAAATTATTCATTTTGCAATGCATCATAATGTTGGTTTGTGACTTTCAGAAGGCCAATTCAAGTAAAGAATTTATTACAGCTCCAACCAGATAGAAGATACATTTATAGAACTTAATTAGAAGAAAAATACGATGAGAGGTAAAAAATGTCAGATTAAAATGAATTCTGTATTCAAATGCACACAAGAAGGCAAACCAAATCCTTGAAGCTACTGAGTATGATGTATGTTGGCTTACAGCTTTCCTGGCAGACACACGCACACTTGACCAAATGATAAATTACCCTCTTTAAGTGAAGATAACTAAAATCATTGATGTTTTTACGAACTTTGAAAGATAAGTTTCCAAAATGACTTTTGTGAGAGGAGCTATTTGTAGAAGTTAAGGAAAAAATATAAATACAAACCCACTGATGGCTAATCAGTTTTGTAAGTACTTTTTTCTTACACGTCTCATCCCCTCCACTATGTGGCCTCCTCTGTGACACCTTAAACAACTTTTACTCCCATTCCACATGGACTGATCCTCCTAATCACACTCTGATTTCTCTGCCCATATATTCCTTTCCTAACACTGGCGTAAATACATACATACACACACGTGTGTGTACATATACATATATGTCAGTTACATATAGTCATATAGACTTTTTTATATATAGTCATTTACAGATGTTATATATAATATATATGTTTGTGATAATATATATACATATATATGATATATATACATATATATGACATATATACATATAACAGATATGTATATATGTCATATATATGTACACATATATAACACATATTATATATACATATATATCACATGTGTATGTTATGCTATATATAACATATATATAACACATATATATGAAGTCAACATCTATATTGTTTTATATATGTTATATATAATTATATATATTATAAAGTTTGTAAATGACTTTTGTGGATAATTCTACACACATTTCAGCCAGGCATAAAATGCTCTTTAGCTGAATAGAAATATTTTCCATATATACAGAAAGGAATTTAGTGCTTTCATTATAACACATTCAGAAATACATGATTTTGAATTACTCATCGACTAAGTGCATCAGCAAATACTGGGACATAGCAATAAAGACCCCCCAGTGAAGTATTCCAGATCTCAGTTCAAATCACTCCTGTGGGAGGGAAGCAGAGTTAAAGGGCCATGGACCAGAACTACTTTCCCACATACAGAAGTTGTGTTATTTTCAACTCCATAATGACACGTATCTGTCATCATCATTGTCATCATTAACTAATGGTAATGATATTTAACACTGTTTGAAAATTTAATGTGCCCCATACCTGGTATTAAATGCTTAGTTCTCACAAGTGAAATGAAAGCTCAAAAGAGCAGGGATTTATATCTGCATTGTTTGCTATATATTCAACCCCAATGGTAGTGGGCACGTAGTAGCTATTCAATAAACATTCATCGAATACATAACTTAGTGACTGATGTTGGTACTATCAGTATTGTTATTTTATGCCATAGTAAACAGGGTTAGTAGAGATACTATGTAAATTGCCCAAGCTTACAATGGCTTGGCTTTGAGGTTCATGATTTTAGCTACTCATACTTAGTATGAATCTTCAATCATTTATTATTTATATGTGTACAATAAACATCAATAATTCCTGTTGCAGAGCTTGGTTGTAACTACTATCATCTCCAGTAAGTGCTTAAGTCATTTAGTCATTATTAAACTCTGAGGTAAATAACCCATTTAGGAATTGTCAGTGTATTATATCAGTGCTGGGTACCACCAGACACAATAGTCTTAGAGGGGTTAGAACACCCTGCTCTCAGCCGGGAGCGGTGGCTCAAGCCTGTAATCACAGCACTTCAGGAGGTTGAGGCAGGTGGATCATGAGGTCAGGAGTTCAAGACCAGCCTGTCCAACATGGTGAGACCCCTTCTCTACTAAAAATACAAACATTAGCCAGGCGTGGTGGTGGGCACCTGTATTCCCAGCTACTTGGGAGGCTGAGGCAGGAGAATTGCTTGAACCTGGGAGGTGTAGGTTGTAGGGAGTGAGACTCTGGAAAAAAAGGGAAAAAAAGACGACGACGACCCTTCTCTTTACAGTTAATATGCTCTGGTACTGCCAGAGAAACCAAGAGAGGAACGCCTCTCCGATAATCTGTGTACGATTTTGTGCAGATTTACTACATGTTGCACTTAACAAGATCTTTAATATGTTTTCTTGTGCTAATAGTACAAACCTTGTATTATATATCAAGTTGGCAGAGGGCACTGACTTCTTTTTCTAGTTTTATTTTCATAGAGATCTCTAAAAGTAAATGTAGACCACTATTTAATAATCATTGATTCCATAGGCTTTTAATTCATTTAAAATTTACCCAGTTATACTTAGGCCTCAACTTTGACCACTCTGTTTCTCTCTGAATCAATCTTTTGAAGAAGCTGAAGAATAGGAGTAACAACTAATACTTTAGAGAAGTCAGTTCCTCTTCCCAAAATTGCATATATTAATTCATTCCATGGCTATAATGCTGTCATATCTTGGAGATACTCCAGGCATGGTTTTAGACAATCTCAATAAAGTAAATATCACAATAAAGCAACTCATGCAAACTTTTTGGTTTCCCAGTACACATAAAAGTTACGTTTACTCTATACTATAGTATATTAAGTATATAAGAGCATTATGTCTAAAATGACAATGAAAATATACTTTATTGCTAAAAATGCTAATGATGATCTTAACATTTATCCAGTCATAATATTTTTGCTGGAGGAGAGTCTTGCCTTGATGTTGATGACTGCTGACCAATCACAGTCGTGGTTCCTGAAGGCCAAGTGGTTGTGGCAATTGAAAATAAGACAACAATCAAGTTTGCCACATCAATGTAGCTTTTCTTTCAAAAAGATTTCTCTGTAGCATGTGATGCTGTTTGATAGCATTTTACCCACACTGAAACTTCTTTCAAAATTGGAGTCAACCCTCACAAATATCTTCATCAAACATGTTTATGAAATATTTCAACTCCTTCATCGTTAGCTCAACAATGTTCAGAGCATCTTTACCAGGAGTAGATTCCATCCCAAGAAACTACTTTCTTTGCTCATCAATAAGAAGCAACTCTTTATCCTTTCACGTTTTATCATAAAATTGAATTGAATTGAATCGTGTTTTCAGGTTGCACCTCTAATTCTAGTTCTCTGGCTCCTTCTATCACATCTGATGTGACTTCTTCCACTAAAGTTCTGAACCTCTTAAGGTTATCCATGAGGGTTGACATCAACTTATGTCAAACTTCTGTTAATGTTTGTATTTTGATCTCTTCCTATGAATCATGAAAGTCTCTTCCCTGAAGGTTTTCAGTTTACTTTGCCCAGATCCATCAGAGGAATCACTATCTATGGCAGCTATAGACTTACAAAATGTACTTTTTAAAAAATAAGAATTGGAAGTTGAAATTGACCCATGGGATGCAGAATTGATGTTATGTTAGCAGGCATGAAAACATCTTCACCTTATACATCTTCACCATAGTTCTTGGATGACTAGGTGAATTGTCAGTGAGAAATATATTTTGTTAAGAATCTCTTTTTTTCTAAACAGTAG